TCCAGTACTACCTGATCAAGTGCTTTAGGGTCACTAAAAAATCCAGTATTACCTGATCAAGTGCCTTAGGGTCACCACCTTTGGAAAGAAGCAATTCATACATTGCTTCATTCTTCTGTATGGCAGCAATATGAAGGCCTGTGCGCCCTCCCTAAAAATGCAAAAAAATTCAAATTTATTCATTCAAGTGGTAAAAAAAGAAAACATATATTAATTTCATAATATGATACTGTTAATCAAAGAAGCACATTTAGGTTTTTATACAAAAATATGGTTGTAAGATTTATTTGAGCCTAATAAGTAACTGTCAGTTACATCATAATCTATTAATAACCAAACAGAAGCTGGAAAAGTGTTGAAATATGATACATTTACTTACACGGTCCCTCTGTTTTACAGTTTGTGGAAATTGGTCCACAAGATATTGTAGAATGGGAAACTGGTTATAAGTAATAGCTTGATGAACAATCATTTCACCATTCTCATCCCTGAAATTCAGCAACTGTTCGTTCTTGGTCACATGTTCTGCAACCATTTCTAGATCCCCTGCCCTCAGGGCTTGTTGAACAGTAGCATCTGACTCCTAATGAATAATTAAAACATGTGTATTACAAACTTAGTTTTGAGTCCTGTATTTCAAACAATACTGTAATTTTCTGAATATAGTTTAATATGTTGTCAATAATATAATATTCGAGGGTTTCAAATTCTTTTAAAATTAGGGTGAACAAACTAAAAACTAAATATTGAAAAAATTATTTATTATTAATATTAATTACAAAAAGAAATAATAATTTCACAGAGAATATTTATATCATGCCCTTCTTTTTGTGGCAGTGATTCTTAAGGTTTATCTAATCACTGCAACTCATTGCTGCTTCTATTTAAAAGGCTCCAGAATTATCTAACCACTGCAATTCATTGCTGCTTCTATTTAAAAGGCACCAGATTTATGTATCTAACCACTGCAACTCATTGCTGCTTCTATTTAAAAGGCTCCAGAATTATCTAACCACTGCAATTCATTGCTGCTTCTATTTTAATGACCGGGCATGCAGGTGTAATGTAATAAGTGTAAATGATATATGGTTACAATTATTACCATAATACCAGAAACAGATGTATAATTAACAACTGTAATTATCATAAAATAATAAAAATGTGAAAGTAAGGTAAAATACTATGTGCTAGATTTTGTGTTGAAGAAATAAGTACTTTCTATATGAAATTATAACAAAAAAATAAGATAACCAATTGTTTAATTCTCTTATGTTCCCATTCTAAGAAAGAATGACAGTATTTTAAAGAATATTTGGTCATAACTTTGCAGTATTACTGGAGTAATTTTATGTAACAAGTATCATTATTTAAGTATAATTGGATAATTATAAAGCTACCAAAATCATAAAAACTATTGTTATTATTCTTTGTTCTTACAATACTAAAAAAAAAGTTTTTGAAATTTTATTAATAGAAAATTGGGAATTTTTTTCTTGTTACTCTTGACATCGCAAAAACAATTATATTTTAAACTACTTTCAAATACCATACTCAAATACTGTTACTGTTAACAAATGAAATATATATATATAAAGATATATCCTTTATTGATCGATTTATTTTTGTGGTGAAGGAGGTTTTGATATGAAGTTTCTAGCTTAGTAAGTTAAATAATTTATCACACACACACAGAAGTCATTCCAAAGATGGTCATAGAGAAAACTAACAAGGCTCTACAGACTGGTGATGTGGCAGAGCTTCAAGAAATAGCAGGAGATGGTTATGGTCACTACTTGCTTGGTAAAACATCTTGGCATGAGAATGTTCGGCAATACTTGAAAGAGTTGCCAGGGCTTTTGGTAAGTCTGGAACTTTTATTATTACACATTATCATGCATCTTTATAGTTGGATGTGACGTCTTTAGATATTTTCAATTATAATACTTGTTTTAGGACAAGTATGTTATGATTATCTGTATCAAGAAGAATTTAACATAATAACTGTTAGCCTCATGGAGAACTTATGGACTGACATTTTTACCATAACATAATGACAGTTACACCTAAGTAGAGCTTCGGGTTTATCTTACAGTTGTTATACAGTTATGCACAAATTTAGGGATAGATTCTGAGTAAAGAATTAACCTGTTTTGTGGGCCATGCAAACTGACAAGCCTTATTAAAGTACTAGATCAAATACAATTGAAAAAAAGAATCAATGAATACAATGTTTTTTTAATAGAAGCAGCAATTAGTTACAGTAGTTAGATAAATCTGGTGCCTTTTTAGACCGGGCATGCAGGTGTAATGTAATAAGTGTAAATGATATATGGTTACCGGGCATGCAGGTGTAATGCAATAAGTCTAAATGATATATGGTTACACCAGGCATGCAGGTGTAATGTAATAAGTGTAAATGATATATGGTTACAATTATTACCGTAATTGTAACCATATATCATTTACACTTACTACATTACACCTGCATGCCCGGTCTATGGTAATAATTGTAACCATATATCATTTACACTTATTACATTACACCTGCATGCCCGGTCATTGTAACCATATATCATTTACACTTATTACATTAC